GGGTTGCAGTTTCATAAACTGCAAAACGCAGAATGCAATCCCTCCATCTGCGAATTTCCAGCGCCGCCGTCTTCTTCAATCAAGAAAATAAAATAAAATAGAAATCCTATTTCTATTAATTAATTACATCCTTGATTGAATCCTATACATTCAGTCTAGAAAAATAAAAATAATTATTTTACAGACCAAATTGAATAGAAATTACAAAAGGAATGCGCAGACAATCTGCGCCAACTCTACACTTCGATCTCCAGGTGCAAACAGTCCATTAAATCAAGAAATAAATCAAGAACCATTCTAAATAAATTTCAGATTTAAACAAAATTAATTTCAAATCAATCACCCTCAACAAGAAACAGTTTCTTGAAATAAAACAGCAAACTACGCAACACCCGGATAGAACAGCTTCTACCGAATTGCGCAGGTTCATATTTGAATTCTTGGTTCAAGATTCGAACCTGTGGCTCTAATACCACTGAAAGGGATGGTAGAATCCATCGTATGGATGCCAAAACAGATGCGAAATGGGTGGGCGAATTTCAAAAATTTTCTACCTACCTTTCAACTGGGAATCACATTCCCTAATTTTAGAATCAAGATTCAAGGATCCTACTTGAACTAGAACTGAACCAGATATGAACCAAAAAGAAAAGTGAGTAATTATACCTGATCCAGAGAAATAATATATCCTAAAGTTGGTGTTCACGCCCAAAGAATGCACCAAGATCTGCTCCTGCTGAAGATGACACAGCAACTGTGGAATAGAACCAACAGGGTGCGTCCTACACACTGAATCCTTCACAAGATTCCTTTGGATGACAATGAGCACCAAACCGAATCATCCTTTCAACCAAGACTGATATCAAGAACTTTTCTTGATCTTTCTCTGACAGAGAAAACGAATTGTGACAGATGGTGGCGGCTTCAACAGGAGGGAAAAACTAGAGAACAAGGTGGCGAACTGCTTTTCTTCTCTAGGGTTTCTGAGATCCTATCTCACAAAATTGCAGGGTGTGTGTTTTGTGTCCCCAGGGTTCGAATTCTTGTAATTCGATTAGGGTTTCCTCCAGTTGCTTAATGATTAAGAAAGGATTTTCTGATCATATCAGGAGTTGCCCCTTATCCAAATCTGTATTTGGATTAGGACTCTTCTTAATCCTATCTGCAGATTAGATAAGCTTTTGCGCTCATCCTAATCTCAGATCCGCCCCTTAATAATGACTGATCAAATCAGCCCAGTTCGAAATGGACTTTAGGCCCAATAAGGTTATGTGCTCAAAAGTCTTCCAAACTGCTGCCCAGTTGGGCTTCTTTGTATGGCGTGGGACCCAAGCATTGATCTACGCACCAGCCACATGTGTTTAGCCCAGCCTTTGTTACAAAGCCTGACCGAATTCACTGGAAAGCCCAGTGAACCCCTTGAGCCCATCACATGGATCCTATGGGCCCAACACTTACACTAAGTGGTCCCTGGGCCAAGCCATCTTATAAAAGTCCAGGGACTGTGGGCAGGTGCAAGATTAGCCCATCAGGTGTTATCCCAAATGGCCTTATACTTAACCTCTCAGCCCATAATGATCAAGCACTGCCCGACAAGAGATGACCTCTCCCTCGGCTGCAAGGAATAGTGTTGCACTCTCTACTTACATGGATCCTGGGAATTAAAACAATTTGCAAACATTTTGAAACCATACTTATATATATATATATATATATATATATATATATATATATATATTATATAAATTTTGCAAAACAAAATTCCGATTGAAATCAACTACCGGCAGTTTGGTTTCCATCAGAGAGAGTGCATCCCCGATCATTACCTTTGTTTGACAAAGGGGTTGATCACGTCACTATGATCACCCACTCAGATGAATTCACAGACAGACCCAACATACCCAGGTTTTGACCCCTACTAAGGATCTCACTGATTGGCATATCAAAGACAGTCCAATCCGACACCTAGTGTAGTACCATAATCGGGTCTAAGGGTCAGGTGTAACTTTCCAGTTTTGCCCATCAATCTCCAAGGTCCATGACAATATTGGAAATCTGGTCCGGTTCAAGGGTTCAATTAATCCTACACTGCATGTGCCTTGGGTCTCACCTGACGGCTGAGACAAGTCACCCCAACAGTTGGCAGTACACCAGTGTCAGCCTTGGCAGGATAAATCTCCCCAAACTTATCCAACGGCTGTAAACATTTAAAACCAACACAAGTCTCATGAAGTGTCCAGTTTTAGGGTCTGACACACAGAAGTATACCACACAACATGAATCAAACAAGTACTTCATTTATTTACATTAAATATCAAAAGTACATCAAAACTGATTGAAGCTAAGGGCATACAAAAACTGTCCAACAATGCATCTTCAAAATTTTAATAGAATTGATAATAAGATTATATATTTTTATAAATTATTAATTGATATTTTCATTTACATTTTCTATAAACATATTTATTGTTTACAAAAATGAAAGTATTATTTATTGAACATTTGCAAATTAATTTTTAGTTTATTTTTTTGTTGGTGTTAAAAATTGAAAATAGTAAAATAAAAATAATTGATATAATAATTCAAATATAATGGTTGCATAAGTTTTGTGTCTTGGTTTTAATAAAAATAAAAATTGATGCATTATCAATAAAATTGTATAATACATGTGCACCCCATTTTATCAATATTAATATATTTCTTCAGATATACCATTAAAATATACAATTCCTATGTATTTACACATTATTTATATTTGTTTTGACATTAAACTTGAAGTTATGATATAATTTTTGAAATTATGTGTATTTCCTTAGTGTATCCAAGCATTTCCGTATTTGTTATCGTATCCATGCATTTCCCAAGCGTATCTGTATATGCATTTGTATCCAAGTTGTCTGATACGATACCCGATACCGATACTTTAATCCTTGGCTTCAAATTCCCACTTTGTAGAAAATGTGATTTGAACTACTATTCACCTCAATCAATTTACTCTCATTAAGCATTGTATTCAATGTATCAATTCTCATTAAATCTACATTTAATATGTTTTTGACCAATAAATTCTATTGATTATATCTATATCCAATATTTTTAACAACATAAAATTCATGTTAGAAAACTAACCCAAAATGAAATTATTCATTTGTCATGTAAGCAATTAAACCATTTATTACATGGATCAACTTATGATGTTATAGTTAAACAATAAATGTTTTAAAACAAGAATAAGCCCATTAAAAAATTAGAAGTACTTGTAAAAAATTTTTGGGCACACTATTAATCATATTAAAGAAAAATAAATGTAATAAACAAATATTGATTTATTGATGATGGGAGATACAAAATTTAAAGCCAACCAAAAAAAATGAAATTACATTACTGTTTGATGAAGAGCCAAAAAGTTCAACCATTTGGGTTATATGTGTTAACCCTTAATGTTATAATTAAATAATAGTAGTTATTATTATTATTATTAATATTATTGCTAGAAAAATTACAACACAAATATATGAAAAACTACTGAAATTTTGTAAAAAAACGTTTGAATACATATTTAATATCATATATTCATCATATTAAAAATATGATTGGGAACATCTCCCATACTTGCCACTGTGGGATATTCCCCATACATGGTCGGGATGTGCTGTGGGGCGCAGATGAGAATTCTAATATATCTATTTTCTGTTTTTTTAATAATTTTTCTAAGAAAAATTACACATGAATTTACATAATAAGTTTTAAGAGCGTTGAGTAATTTATAGGCCAGCATTATAAAGCTACTGTAAGCAAATCTCATCACATAAAAGAGAATCACTTCGTTTTCAGATTTTGGCGTTTCTTATGAATTAGTAATTGAAGTAATTTCTACACCTTCAGTGATTTCCGGCTGTTCAACGGTGATTTCTTTACTCCAAAATTGGAGTAATTTCAGGCTGTTTCAAAGAATACAATCTGCACAGAGAAAAAAGAAAGAAATAGAAAACATGCTAAAAGAAATAGAAAGAGTCAGAGAACCCTCTCCTCGTTGTATCCATGCTTTTCAAAACCAGACCAGACGGTTGGACTGAAAAAACGGGAACCAGTTCCATTTTACCCCAAAACCATTTTTTGGACAAAAACCATTAATTTGGTAAAAAAACTGCTGTCCCAGCAGACCCAGCAGTCCCATTTCACCCTAAAACTGCTTTTCGAACAAAAACCATTGATTTGGTCAGAAACCGCTGACCCAGTGGTCTCATTTCACCCTAAACCTGCTTTTTGGACAAAATCCATTGATTTGGTAAGAAACCACTGAACCAAGTGGTCAAACCATTGAACCGTCAACCCGAATAACTTTTTTTTGTTATTATTATTTATTTTTGTCTTTTATTTTTAAGTCAGAATGAGCCATCTATTCAAACCAGACGGACCATTTGACCCGGGAACCAGTCCCCAAAACACATTTAAAAACCTTGATTGTACCAGGGGTGCAACTTGGGTGAGCCCAAATCGGCCCAGCCTGAAATTTTACATGGGCTGGGCTTGGATTTTTGGTCCTTAAGCTAGACTCAGGCCCAAGATGTCAGGCTTTTTATTTTTCAGGTAGGGCTCAGGCGTAGCCCTTAGGTAGCTCAAGCCCGGCCCAACTATACATATTCATACAAACATGTGTATATATACATGTGTACATATTTTGCATATATACATAAATATATGTATAAATATTTGCATTAATACATATTATATGTATAATTTTAAAATGGGTTCATTGACCAACCCGAACCTGACCAGGGCCCGAGCCCAATCCAAGTGCATCAAATTGGGTTGGGAATATCGGGCCTGACCTCAGGCTCAGTCCAGGCTTGGGCCTTAAGCCCAAGTTTTAGAGTCAGGCCCAGGTTGACCATAAACCCGACCCAACCAACCCAATTTTCACCCCTACTCCCGAGCCCACGTCCAAATGAACATATTGCCAATACGTATCATAGAAACAGAACATTACACCAAATGAATTTTACTGTACAGCTCTAGTAGAAGATATCAATTTAGCGGATAAGGGCAGTTCTCTAAACTGTACATACAGAATCCGTCCCAGGCGTTTCAGTTGACATGTTCAAGTAAATGTTTCTAAACCATTGTTTCGTAAGTTCAACTTCCACACATTTTACAATTGCACAAATTACTTTTAACATGCAAAAACTGTACAAGTTAGGCTACAGGTACCTACAAGATGAATGAAGAGCTCTGCTGCAAGATTTCTGAATGGCAACCATAACCATTTTGACCACGTACATTACACATGAAAATGCTGCTTACCATTGACAATTTGTGCAGATAACCAACTCTCACCTTCAAAGATGGATGCATTTAAATACAGTGGAAAATCTTCGTTTTATTGAAAATAAGTTGCAATAGGAACTCACTGATCATTTTCCCTTTGTCCTGTCATTTTATCAACTTGACGTCAGCAAAGGGTTGTACACAGTTGAAATAAAGGTGGAAGGGCAATTATATCATGCAGATTACTAAATGTATTTGCTTTCCCTAATGTTTCTCTTCCTACCTTAATGGGGAAGTATTCTCTGGCTCATCACCTGGGAGGGTGTTATTTGTACTACCAGATTTAGCTTTATCAGACTCGACATCATAGGATGATAGCAACCTTCTCTGCATCAATTTCAAATATTAGTTTCAAGCCTAGGATATATATATATATATAGACCTAATTGCTGTGTTGTAAACAATAAACCCAAAGCTCATCTCAGTTTACAGAAAATAAAATTCAATTCACCATATTTCATTTGTAGCATCTAGTAGTTTGTCTAAAAAAACATCTTACTAATAATTTACAAGTGCACATCAAATGCAGGTGTTGACAATAAAACCAAAGGTCATATCAGTTTACCCAAAATAAAAATCAATTCACCATATTTCATCTGTAGCATCTAGTTTGTGTCTAAAAAAACATCTTACTACGTATAATTTACAGGAACACATAAAATGCAGGTGTTCTTTACATACAGTTGCAGGCTTTAGTTCCAGCCTACCCGCAAAAGGAAAGAGCTAGCTGCTAGCAACAAATTTCATGACTTGTTACTGTATTCAAGCTGCACTTATAAAAAGGGAAAGCACATTTGATAGTATGTGGGTTCCAATGTCAAACATTCTGCAATCCTCATGTTAAACATGTTTGTGTTCCTAGTGGCAGCCACTCAAGTACAAATGGTTATGTGATGCAAACAATGAAAACCCGGGAAAGAATTTAATATTGCATGTCATTAGCCACCAAATTGGGCCTAAGAAAAAAATACAGCAGTGAAGCAACTAGAGTTAAGTATTTAGGATAAATGTTGATTTAAGTCAATACTAGGAGAGACCCACGCAATGCATGGACTGGTGTTCAAAGATTCCCATGTTCTACAAGAGTGATTAAATTCAGTTTCCTAAGAAAAAAGGAAACTGAATTCGCTGTGGCTGAGTTTAAGTAGCCCTATGTTTGATTTTTTTTTTTAAATCTAAAAAAACACTATTTTGAAATGCACATAAATAGAAGATAGAAGCACTTACATGATCCTCAAAATCAGGGCTTGACAAATTGACAGAAAGATTTCTCATCAACAGTAACACCTGTAAAGGAAATAGATAAGATGCATATATTACACTGGCTACTCACAAAACAAATTCTGATCCGTACAAAATACGTAATAGTTAACAGTAACGGATCTATATCTAAGCATGAAGCATGAACATATTTTCCATAGAGAGTTGGAAAAGAGCCAGATTGATTCTAACAAGCATGAAGCATTGATGCAAGACTGGCTCAACAAGTGACTTCATAAGCTATGAAAGGCATCAATTTCAGATTGATCATAGAATAAAATGTTCTACCAAGTAAAGGAAGTCTCATTGATAAAAAGGGTTAAAAAAAGTGAAGGAACTTACTCTAATGAAAGAACTTAACACCAAGACCATAAATGCTCATGGAGATAAACCTCATATTACCCATTTATATTCCTAGTATCAAATAACTAAAACTAATCCTAAAGCAATTTGTAATTCAAACTACCTAGAATAACCAAATAAAAGGGTAAAAACCTAATTAAACCAAGGCAAAATCCTTCTTAAATCCCTATTAATTTGCAAACATGCTTAGAAAAACATATAAGCCTCATTTGAAATGGATGTACAAGGCATAGTTGAGTTGAGAAAAGCAACTTGCAGGGTCTACTTAAACCTACTACACTACTAAATCCAACAAATGAGATGATAGAATTTAGAAAACTATTAAAGATGAAATCTCTTAGGGTCAACGCTAGGCTATGGTGTTATCCATGCCCATTTAACCATTCATAAACCTTCACCAAGAAAATTTTGTGATCCAAGTTATTGCTACACGACCATGCATTCACATGATAGGAAAATTAGGAAGTGACCCAATTGGCTTAAACTTACTACTCAGATGCAGGTAAGTTCATGCAGTTAAGCAGCAAGCCAGAATATGTACATGACATCCTCTGATTTAATATTTATATGCATAATCTACAAAAGGGAATTACCACAAAAAGGTAAACGAAAAACCAATAAACCCACAACTCAATATATGAACATTAGAAAAACTAAAGAAAGAAATAATGCCAATATTTATTGGTAGTAAGAGCTTGATAGAGAAGTGAAAATGCTGAGTTATTTAAACTAACTGAAAAATTAAGTAGAGCCCAGAAAGGACAAAGACCAGAGCACTATGGAAAGTCCTAAGATCTTCAATAGGATAGAATAATTAAACAGGATTTATGCTTCTTCCTTTGGCCATTATTAAACCTTAAGATGATTGTATATGATCCCTTTCTTGTTCTTTTGATCTAAAGGAAATTCAGTTAGAAGAATAAGATAAAAAAGCATGTTATTCGGGGGTATCAGATCCCTCAACCCTACAGACTGATTATAAATTCCTTACCACTTCTACAACCAAAAGGCAAAATTAGCCTTTATTTTTTCGAAAGATTAACCATGAAATCAGCACATGAATTGTTTTCTTTAGGATATGAAACAACCTGAGCATTCTTTTATGTCTTTCCAATGCATCCCCTCCGTTTTAATAGGTAATTAATTAAGCACTTAAAATAATGATGTCTGGAGAACAAACTAGGCATTTCTATAGCCTAAAAACTCACTAGGTATCCTAGTTTGAAGTAGCATTTATTTTCTACTTTAAGCAGACTCCCTGTATAATTCTAACTCAAACAAATCTTATCCAAAGTATGTCTATAAGGTTCAAACCCTAACCTATTTTGGAAAACAAGCTTGTTTTATTCTAGCCAGAGATAGATGTAAAGTTTTCATATTAGTTTTTTTTTTTTGAAAAATATCCCAACAGATGGATGACTTGGTTGAATGTTGCGGATTTTTTAGAAGTAAAGAATTATTTAAAAACCATACTACCTCTCCGGTGAATGTTCAGACCTTTTTCAAAAAAAAAAAAAAAAAAAGTTCAGAATTTGTAGCCTTACAAACCAAATTACATCCTAGCTGCATAAGTTCCTGAGTGTAGTTTTAACAAGTTAACACCTATCAACGTATTGTGTTGTATGTGACGTTTTAAAAAGTGAATAGTGATCAAGGTATAGTGTAGAGTTCTGATAGAAAACATACAGTTTCAACATCAATTGGATCCATCTCCTTTAGTTTCTGCAAATGCCCACTTGTGTTTGGGTCAAATACACTGCCAATGAAGCTATATACTTGAGAAAAATCTGGCATTACTGCACCTAGCAGAAAGAAATATAATTAATACATCAGTACAAGTATAAGAAGAGAGTGCAATATATGAAAATTACAGTAAGAAGCAAAAGGAAGAAACTGCCAATGAAGCAAAAGCAAAGGAACTTCAGCTCAAGTACAAGAAAACAGGCTACACATAAGAACATGAGACCATGACCAACAGTAATCCAATGTAGCATTAGTGCATTACCCCATTTGTGCCTCAAAAGGTGTTGAATCTACCAATCACCTTATGGCGTATTATTCAATAACTAGACAGTTTTGGCACTTCTTTTTAAAGCATGGTGGGGCTGGAGTGGTATCCAGGAAATTGTTTGAGAAATTATTATTATTAAAAATTAGCTTCAAAGGTAAGAGTTTATAAGACAGACATACACCTCCATGCTGGAGGCATATGTCTCCAATGTGTGCCTACTGGCATAAACCTACAGTGCCTTTTAAACACTTTCAAGGTTTGTGGTTGAGATTACGGGTACAACTGAGTTAAGTTGAGTTGGAAATTCATTAATTTCTCGATTTGTTCGTGTCATCCTTGTGCAGGGGCCCTGCTAATCTTCTATGTATTGTTCCAATAAACTGAACCCTAACCCGGGCCTGATGTAGTTGAAATCCTTTAAATGAAGCAATCTGATTTGCAGCCCTAGTTGAGATGTTTCAATCTGTCTCTAAAAGGGAAGTCTATCCAAAGGCTGTCATCTATGCAGTCAAGTGGGGAGTGTTGGAAGAAAGAAACAAAAGAGGTACTTTTCCTGATTAACTCTTGGGTCTTGAATACTAAAAGAGGTATTTAGTGAATTGCAAATGAATTTGGAGGACATCAGCATGCCAGCACCTTCTAGAGGCAATCCGCTTCCCTAGAGGGTAGGAGTTTATGTTGAGAGATATATTGTATTGGGTTGTATTTGGGTTTTTGGAGGTTACAGGTGTATATTTGTAATGCTGATAAATTTTGGGGACTTGTATGTATTTTTGGGAGAAAGAGGGACTTGTGAGAAATTCTGGTATAATTTGGCTTTTTGCTTATTTAAGCCATTGGGGTTGTGTGAGATTAGGTGTTGAGTGAGAGTGGATATTTTGTTGTGAGTCTATAGAGAAGTCAGCCATGTATCCCTTGTTCTCATGGTGGATATTTTTCCCTCTCTTCCTGTGGATATAGGCTACCGAGCCGAACCACGTTAAATCTTGGTGTTTTCTCTATTTCTTCTTCTTATTTTCTTCTTGGTTTGTTATTCTATTTATATTAGTTGACATGGTAACAGAGCAGGTTTAGTGTGGGAATTAGTTTGGTGAACTAAGGAAGACTAGCAATCGATTACTGTTCACGATTACTATTCACGTTACTGTTCAGTGTTCACGGCTATTGTTCACGTGAGGTCTGTGGTGCTTGAATCTATGAAGCAATCTGTTGGGAACTTTTACCATTCAATGAAGAATTTTTGTAAGTATTTTTCATCATTTTTCTAGAATTTTACTAGACTCCGAAAGGGGTGATATTGCTTCTTTCGAAAACTAGGAAAAAGTAACATCAGATTTGGATTATCTTTTGGTTCTCTCATACCTGATGGAATCTAGGCTTAAGCTTTTATAGTTCAGGCTGTTTTTATATGAGAAAGAAGATCGAAGGATCATTTGGGCAAGATAATCTGATCTGGTTGGTATACGAGGGAATCTTCTTGTCATTATCTTTAACGCTATTATTTTTTTTTGGATTTACTCTTTTGCTGGCTCTTTGGAAGGACTCCCTCTATAGAAGGATTTATATTTTCCCTCTTTTTCTTGTGGGTTATGCTCCCTAGCATCTGAACTAGTTCATATCTCCAAGCAAATTCTGGTTTTTATGTTGCATATCAGCTGTTTGATTTATTGTCTAAAAGGTTGGTTGTTGGCCATTTAGCCAAGTTTCGTGTTTTCCTTGGGAGTTCTAATTTTTTTGAAGAAGTATTATAGAAGCTCTGCAACTTCTCTGGTCTATTTATGGTTATTAATATCAGCATGTGATACTAGAGCTCAAGGTGATTATTTGGTGTTTGAGAAAATGTCTCAATGGTGCAAAATTTCTACAATGGTTCTCCATTGTTATGATTAGTTCTAATCTGATCTTTGTTTTGTGGCTTGGTTTGATATTTAGACTATTTTGGTGACTCATGGATCTATTATCATTGGTCAATATCTGGTTTGCTTACCTCATACATGTTTTGCATGAAAGATGTTTGACAAAATGTTTCAGCAATGATCCTTTATTATGGCCATCAGTTCTGAGTTATTGTTGAAGAAATCCTTGGAGTTTTGATCTCCTTTGGTGACATGGGATTTGATTCACTTCATCTAGTTGGCTTTCTGATTGGCCAACTCTGATTCCTCAATTTGGTTTATGGAGTTCATAGTTGGTTTCTGTTGATCAACTCTGAGTATTTGCTCTAGTTTATAGAGTTCAGCATAGTTGGTTTTCCACTAGCCAACTCTGTTTTGGTAATTTTGTTGGCACTTCTGATAATCTAGTTATTGGTTCTTCAGTTTGGAGATTGTGATTGGCCTTTTGATGGCTAAATTTGATTCTTTGGCATGATATGTGTTGGCTCTCCGTTGGTCAACTTCAATTTGGTGATTACTAGATCATGACTTGGCTCTACTCTAGCTCTACGACACGAGCTCATTCAGCTTTCTAACATTCAACTTTGGTTTCTAAGAGGCCCATTCAACATCTCAAGTTTCATGGTTGTTGCTTCAACAGTACACATATTTTCATGGAGGTTGCTTCAATATCCTTCTTGCAAACTCAAGCTAGTTTCCCCTCTTGAGTTCGAGGGAGGGTGTGGAGAGATATACTGTATTTGGTTGTATTTGGGTTTTTGGAGGTTACAGGTGTATTTTTTTTGGGTTTTTGGAGGTTACAAGTGTATATTTGTAATGCAAATAAATTTTGGGGACTAGTATGTATTTTTGGGAGGAAGAGGGGCCTATGCGAAATTCAAGTATAATTTGGCCTTTTGCTTATTTAAGCTATTGGTTGTGTGAGATTAGGGTTGAGTGGGAGTGGATATTTTGTTGTGAGTCTGTAGAGAGGTCAGCCATGTATCTCTTGTTCTCATAGTGGATATTTTTCCCTCTCTTCCCATGGATGTAAGCTACGGAGCCGAACCACGTTAAATCTTGGTGTTTTATCTATTTCTTTTTCTTATTTTCTTCTTGGCTTGCTATTCTATTTTATGTTAGTTGACAGTCTAGACTTTCCAGTGTTGGTGGGATTCTTACCAGGAATGGTGGCGGGCCTCTTGTGGGTCTTCAGTGTCTTAGTTGGGTATGACACCTTCAACAAAGCAGAAGTGATTGCCCTCCTCGTTGTTGTCTGTACTACAAAGAGGTTCAAGCCTTTTTCTATAGCCACTGAAGGGGATTTGACCAATATTATTGGACAGAGTGGTGGCTATGGATAAGATACTTGGGAGCTGGCTCACTACCTTAATGAAATTAGAGACATTTTGGCAACTTGTTTATCTAGATAAGGTGGATTCGTATAGAGAGATAAATGCAAAAGTTGATAGGCTTTCTAAATTGGGGGCAAGCAGGGGTTTCCCAGTTAGTAATAGCACTATGCCTTCCAGATTTTATTGTTGAGGGATGGGATTGGAAAATAAGGAAGAGGAATAAATCTGAAGCTTTGTGGACGAAGAAAGATTTCATGGAGTTGGAAGGTGAGGAGTGGGAGAAGAGGAATAAATCTAAAATTTTTATCCTTGGAAGGTAAGGAGTTTGTAAGAAATATTTCATGGAATTGGAAAATAAGGAAGTTGTGGACAAAGAAAAATGACCAATGGATGTGGGAGAAGAGGAATAAATCTAAAGCTTCTGGAAGTTGGAGGTAGGGTTTTCTTGTAGGTGATGTTTTGATATGCATTCGGGAGGGGGCATTTTTGTTGGTTAGGTTGGAGCGTCAGTTATGTTTTGTAAACAATGGGGTTAAGTGTTTAGGTTGGATCTAATTGGACCATTGGGGGTATACAATTTAGGGGGTGGAAGGATGGATTTTTATCTCAGGTGACTTCTTATTACCTTATTCTGTATTTTCTTCTCTATTTTACATTTTGATGAACTTTTATTTTGTTATCAAAAATAATGTTGCATGAAGTCTGACAATGTGAGCCTGTTTTACACTTCTCGTCCCAAGCCCAAATAAAGGAGGTAGGTTGTGTCAGGTTGGAAGCCAGCACTAAAACTTTTGCCAAACTCTCATGGTCATGGAGCCTGATTTATCTTTTCATGTTCATGCTAGGACATTCAGCAGAACAGAATGGCAAAACATAGCTGATCCCATATAGTTGGGACAAGGCTTAGATGACAACGACGATGATGATAAAAAAGGGACATGGTGTAAAAAAAATGACAATGTACTTTCTATAGCCAAGGAGTCATAAGATCAAGATTGAACATGGGATTCGTAAGTCCATATAAACAACTACAAAATTCAATTGACAAAAAATACCAGTAAAGTGTTGTGGTTTATGCCTGTTTCTAATCAATGGGCTTTACCTATCATATTTGTGCCCTTGTATTGCAGGGACACAACAAATGGGTGTCAGCGATATAAAAATGATGATTTAGAATTTATGTATTAAGACCTGAAACTAGATCATTCATGATATAATCAAACCCAGGCTAATGAATTCTGTGGAAAAATGGATGTTGGACTGTCACAAACTACCAATGTGTTCACTTAGTGAAACACAATGAAAATAGACGGAACTTTGGATACACCCTACTTGTGCTTTCCATTGTAGGTGATGGGAATTGAACAGAAAAAGAAAGAAAGAAAGAAAATAAGTTAAATGCAAATCCATCCTTAGTCTCAAAGCTTCATGCAGTTATGAGTTTTTCTCTGCACAGTGACCTTAGCATAAGTTGAAGAGCTTACCCCTCAGTGGTGGACCTTGATTTCCTTGATCAGTTACTTCACCGCACGGCCATCTCTTTGGAGTACTTTCAGTGCTACTGCAACAATTATTTGCCACCGCAGGTACAGCAGATATCATTTCATCTGAAAACAACACACTAACACAGTTAAGATGTTATTTTTGCACAAGGAGCCATGATAATTGAAGAGAAGAAACAAGGTTAAGTTGGTCATCATGGTTCAGGTCAGAAATACTACAACCTTTTGCCATATGTGTCATGTTGATTGGTGGTACAGAATTATTAGCCCAGGATGACATGGCTACACCCCTAATAGGATTCCCAAACACTGATGATGAATCTGGCCTCAGGGTATATCCTGGTTCAAGCAGGGAAGATGAAGATTGAAATGCTCCTGTAACTTGTGACAGAACTGGTGCTGCAGGGTTCAAAGAATGTGGAGAATTTTAGTTAAGTTTCTAAAATATGAAAATTAAGCTGACTAATATTTAACTATACTAACCATTTTTAGAGGCTTTCTGTGGGTATGGATGAGCTGCTTTCCGCTTAGGCCGAGGGGGAGGTACATGCTCACTTGTTCCATTCTTCTGGACCTTCAGAAAGTACTTCTGTGCATGGCTGCGTATCTGCAATTATGACACTTCAATATCCAGAACATGGACTATACACAGAAGTCAAAATATTAACAGAATTTATCTTCCTGAGGTGGAATAAGTTGCTACTGATGTTGAAACAAATAATTCACTCTTAGAGATGACAAATTGAGGAGACACAAGCTCATGTTAGCAGGGAAAAAAGTAGCAATGATACTCCAACTTGAGTAGGTTCTCTCAGGCTAAGCAATAAATATAAATGTAGCCCATAGGGAAAATGCATAGTCAGAACATAATCCATACATTTTTCCTCGAAATAAAACAGTGAACTATCAACAAGTATCTTGTCTGGCATGGTTGTCAAGCCAACTTGTCCCATGGAGGGCTGCCTATTTTGTAGACACTATAAAATATTTTCATATCCTTTTATTTTTTATATTATAATAATAAAATAAACATTATAACACTAAATTACTTATTTCATGGGTTTGCATGCTAGTTTCCTTTTATTATTTTCTTATTTGTTAGGGCTCAATCAACAGACATGTTTTGTGCTATCTTGAACCCTTGAAGACTTAAAACCTGAACTGAAGCAAGGACACTTTTAATGGGTGTTAGCATTGACAACTTAATGTAGTACTTATCATATGATGGATAATGCAACAAGTTAATCTCAGTACAGCTATACTAGACCTCAGTCCAGCTTCTAGACCTGCGAAGAAAAGGCCCCTCTAGTAGTCATCTTTCCTACTCACTTCAGTCTAGCATCAGCAGTCCATGGTCGACCAGCTTAGGTCCTCCTTGGTCTGAAAACTCCAAGGAGAAACCCTAGAGTGAAGAAATTCTAGTAAGCTTCGACCAGAGCTAAAGTTTCAAGAAACAAAAGAAAAGGAAGACTAAGGTTGCATTTGGCAGTGCACAGGTTCTAGGGCAGATTTGGTGCTCTGATACCATGTAGATTCTCAGCCCTAGGTTAGAGAGGAAAAAGAAAGAAGAAAGATGAGAAGAATGGGGTGGCAGCCTCTTCTGTCCAGCCCAGTGATGTTATTATATGTGAACATAATAAAGTTACATAGAGTGACAAAACTGCCCCTGATTAGGTGGCAGAGAAAGAAAAGCATAAAAGGAACAATATGAGCCCAAGCCCATTACACCCAACAAGGAAATAAAACATAACGAAAATATAAAAAGGCCCAAGCCCACACTGTTAAGTCCCACACCAATACTTCCGTCAAGAGAGACATCATTAATAGAGAATGAGTATTGATGAGGCTAAGAAAAATAACCAATCAGTGAAGTTTCATTTTGGCATCTTATTTTAAATATATTTGTCAAATTTCTTTAACCCCCTAAATTCCTTTCTTATCAATAACAGTGAATATCAAGTGGCTTACTCAAGATATGAAGGTGAAGGTTTGTTGAGTTAAAAGAACTGCTAATGCTTTTGCTGATGTTCTAGAAAAACAAGGGTGGGAAGGAATCAAATGTTTTGGGCACAATTGTAAACTGTAATTGTTTTTAGGCGATGAGAATTAAGAAAGGTTTCTTTCCTCTCTTGTATAATTTTATTTTTTTTAGTTGCCTCTCTTGTATAATTTTATTATTAATCAATTAATGAAATTCTGTTATTGATAAAAAAAAATAACAGTGAATATCATTCATGATAAAAGGTTCAAAATTAAACCCCCCTTTCTTTTTGATAATCATAGATTTAATATCAATACTGACTTTCCTCAAACCCCAACTGTATACCTAATTACCAAACCACGGATTCAAAAATGACTAGTGTCATTTCTTTACACCTTATATACAAACTGATGAGGGGGAATTTGGCCCCCCAGGGACATCACGCCATGTGGCACTTCAACACTTCCGAACCGTTGCTTAACACCTCGATGCCACATAGGCAATAACTTGCATTTGCCTAGATCAAACTCCACCTCAGAAGTACCTTAGACACCTCACGCACACTGTAAGAGAGTAACGACACCACCTTGAAGGGCTGATCTGTAGGTAGTTTGGCATAAGGGGCGACCTCCTTACAAGACCCCGTCGACTTCACCGAGGTCTAGATGGCGACTTGTCTAACATGATAACCAACCTCTTCTGCATGCGCCTTATCGTCTCCAAACCGTCTGGGATCACGTCGCCTTTCCAATGGAGCTGGCTCCCACGTCCCCCCGCTTTGGAGGCAGTTGGATAAGCTTATTGCTTTACATGGAAACTGTTTTTGAGAATGAAATCACCTCCGAGTGTGGCGGGCAGATAAGCCACGTCTCCCCGAAGATCTCGAATGCGCTACGTGAAGCTCACGACTACCTGCGCCTATATGAAGGCACCCCATTGATTGGAGAACGCATCCTCAATAAGCTCTCTAAATTCTCTAGCTATCTTGCATTCTAGCATTCTTAACACTCTTCGCTAACTTAAGCATCAGAGTGCCCACCCCAGGTAAAGCATCCTGGGTACTCTGATTAGTGTTTCCTTGCAGCTCGGCCAACCGACCTCACCACCTCGGCATTCGAGCTGTCCTCCAGCAGGGAGCACCAGATCGCACTCCATCACAAACCATAGACTCAAAACAGCTTAAATGACTGATTCTAAAATGCGTTCTTTAAAAAATTTACAAGTTGCAAGCTATCTTTAGCATCTTTAAGCATAGAACCAAAAATCCATAACATTTTCTTCAAGTGAAACAGAGATCAAAGAGATGACAATGCTCACAAGCAAACAATGATGATTTTCTGAAATTTAGCCAGATTCCCATGTCAACTTTGTCAAAAACAGAATGAAGTTAACCCTGATTTTTCATCAACTTGCAATGACAAGTCACATTCAATAATATTGAGAATCAAATAATCAAATGATCCTTTTGTGTTCTCTTTTCTTTCTATAACTCTATAAACAATAAGATCTGTTTTTTCTTTGCTTGATTGAGAAGAGCTTGTGGCTCTACAATGGGGATCTCAACTCAATTTGGCCTTGGGGTTGGATAGGGTGAAGATCAGAACAGATTCATAAGTGATCATTAGTTGGTGTGCTCATCCTTTGAAGGTCCTTTGCATTCACAGCACTCCATTAGGGAAACTAGATCTTTAACATCAAGGATGGACAACTCATTAAAATGGATTCCAAGTTAATCAAATTCTTTTATTTACAAATTTTATAGAGGAGGGGAAGCACTCATTGCATTGGGGTACCACTTTAGAGGGTTATCTTCTATAGTTTCTGGTATATTTAGTGATGTTTGGCTGATATCTATTTTCCACATTGTCTTTGGAACTCAGTGGCCATATTTTGACCTTTACATCATCTAATAAATTCTTTTGATTGTTGTTACTTAACAAATAAACAAGCCAAAGAAACAATTCAACCTTAAAAATGAAAGATAATATATTAATAATTAAATAAATGAAAAAAAAAACTCATTTCTTGATAATACACACAAGGCAGGCTAAATAAGGTTAACAAGGGGTAGCTATGCATTTGAAAATTACCTGAATAACAGTCTTTGACCCAACAAATGCTTCAATCTTCTTCCAGTCACGATCAAAGCTGAAAAGACAAAAGGAACACAAATTATTTCAGAACAGTAATCATTTGCAGTAGGAGGAAAAATAAAAGCATGGAGATCCCTATGTCCATGGATATCTAATGATTTCAACCTAAAAGGAAGCTCTCTAACATAATCCTGCCTGCTTAGTATCTCTGCTAGTCAAATGAACACTCCAAAGTTTAGAAAGTTAAAATGGTGATGGAAGAATTTGCTCTGGTCAAGAGAAAAGTGACCAAGACAAGTTCAAGGTGTCACAGAAGCAAAACTTTTATGTTTATAATGCCCTTTAAACCAAGGTTAATTACTTAAAGCATTCTAGTTTCATAATTAAAACCATGCTTCTTACATTATTAATCAGCTCTCTTCATTCTATACGACTCCATGTGGTCTAGCATACAAGACAACAAAGAACAAATATCCAAGGAAAAGAACACCAGTTTTGAGAAATGAACAAAGAGTTCTAAGCATTAGTGTTATTGCCCATGTTTCCAGAGATTTTAAAAACAAGAAGGTTTCATGGTTGTCAAGGCCACGCCTGGGCAACAAGGCACCAATGAAGAGTCACCTTGCTTCAACATACATGAAAATGGATATGAATTTGATGGTTGAAAAGAAGTTAAATTGGAGGGAAAGGATTTTTTTTTCCTTTTTAGGGGATGAAGAGTTTGCCAAAAAAGCTTTTTCTCTTGGAATTTGAAGGAAGGGAGAATTCTTAACTATCCTGATAGAAATATTTGGGAGTAGTGTATGCAGTGGCTGCTATTAGAAGATTTGATAATTTTTTAGGTCGAGGGGATCAGGGGATAGRTTTGGATTCAGTTTTGCGTGTCTTGGCAAGCAATGTAATTTCCTACTTGTAATGGTTGATTATATGTGAATTTTATTTTATTTTGAGGTGACAGTTTTGTAGTAGTAAGTGCTGCTTGTTATCCTAGGAAGCAACCATGGGGGTTTGTGTAATTTGGGTTGCTGAGATCTGTACTGGGGGGATGTACCTATGGGCGTTAGTTTATAGAATAGGGCATGGAGAGCATTTTTGTTTGTTGTCCTTGGTGATTTCTTCACCTGCCTAAGTGCTTTGCATCTTCCACCTTTCTTTTAACGAATCTTATAATATAATTTTAATTTTGCCATCAAGAACAGAGAAAATCAATGAGTTCAAAAAGGGAAGGAGAAAAGAACATTTCCAACTCCTAAAATTTCTACTTGCTTTATGCCCATTGTAGCAGGATTTATATAAGACACATCTATAAAGTTCTGAAAATGTATGACATTGCCAAAACGTTATTAGGTCAGGAAAAGAAATCATAAAACAGAGGTCCTCTGAATCCCCCGGGTTTTTTCAAATGGATTACAATCTCTAGTTCTTTCTTCCTTGATTTTAGCAAGTATATGATTCACCGGAATGAACAGAATTAATTCACTGCTTTCTGTAACTAGCATAGAGACAATACTGAAAAAAGAAAACTAGAATAGAGCCAAGAATACAATTCATTTGTCCTTTTAATAGAAAAAATGTGAAAATAAAATGATACGTCCTGCATTAACTGAAATATTCAAGCATATATCTTTAATTAGTTATCAGCTTTTCCGTGACGGGAGCTGACTACGGCTCCAGATATTTACAGTATATATAATCAAAATAAGTAGCTTCGAATGGTTTGGAAGATCTGCTTACCAAAAAAACCAGGTTTAAGATGTAACAATTAACATATTAACTAGTGAATAAGAGTTCATCGAATTTGTTGCAAGTACAACGTGAGCAAAAAAAACTAAATACATCAAAACCCAAACAATCAACAGCCATACCACTGTGCCCAGAAAAAGCCATTTCTCTGGAACGTTTTTCCCGCTATCCATTCTTGATGCAGCCAAATTCATGCTACCCTTGGCAGCGTCAATTCTCAAAAAACCCTAAGGGCATCGGGCTAGAATTCACGATTATTTCTCAATTCTTCACAGTACAAACATCGAAGTAATGACCCCAAACACAAATACACAATCGACACTTGAAAAATATTACGCAATTCACGCAAACAGTGATTAAAGAGAGGTAAGTAGCCAAGTTTTACGACCAAAAATAAGATAGTTAATAATCCCATAAAAACATCAACGAATTGAAGAAAACAGAGGGAAACACAAGAAAAAGAAAACAAAAGAAAAGAGGAGTTAAGTTAGTTAAATTAGAAGCGCACAGTTGGAGAGCTTCCAGGAATTTGTCGTGCTCTTGCTCAGTCCAGCTCTCTCGGGATTTCGTGATGGTGTAGGGTTTACGAATCTTCTTAGTGGGATCGTCCGGTGAAGCAGTGGTGGCTCCTGCTAAAGAGCCGAGACCGGGAAGAGCCATTTCCATGGGATCCAAATAGAAAACTTCAGCTGGATTTGGGATTGGATTAACGGACACCATATGCCGGACAGGCCACCTCTCTGGCTCTCTCTCTCTCTCTCTCTCTCTCTCTCTCTCTCTCTCTCTCTCTCTTTCTCTATTCCTCTGCGTCGCTTTCTGCTGCTAATTGCTACTGCTTCTTTCTTCAACACCGAGAGAAGGTCATAGTGCGGTTTAAGCCGACTTTCTATTTCTTATTTATATAAACGATGACCTGAGAGGAAAAAACACGCACGAGTGTAGGTAAGATGTGGTGTAACCGTCCTCATCAATATCCACCGTACACATAACTGATGATCAGGAGATTTTAGCATCTTGATGAAGATTCTAAGAAGAGTGTGGTGATGGAACTACCAAAGGCCAAAGCCAATGTAGAGCAAGTTTTTAACATAGAATGTTGATTAGATTGATGGAAGTATCTGGTAACTAAAAGAAGACATCACGCAACCTTTTTGCTTTTGTATGCGAGGAAGAGTTGGGACCCACCTTGAATAAGAATTGAAGAAAGGAGTGTGGGTGGGGCCGGTAAGTCCTGCCTCTCAGCCAGAGCCAGTCAGCCTAAAAATTGGATGCGGAAGATCTGAACCGCACGTCCTATCAAGTATCAACTGATGGATTTTGGCATCGAGACACTTCTAGCGCTTCAGCATAATCCATCCATTACAGATTTTATTCTAAACCACCCTCATATGCGCCAAAAAAAACCTACTCTCGTTTTTCCGGTTTGTGAGGACGGATGGATATGCTGGACGAGGGGATAGGTGACAAGTGGCAAATTTCGGGACCTATTTAATTTAGGTACGTTACATACATAGTTTTCTGGAAGCACGCATGTGTCACATGCCAGACAACGGCGCCTACAAAATATCTTATAACTAACCACAGCAGGTGGCTCCTTTTTGTTTGTGAAAAAAGAAGGGGGACGGAAGCTCTGGCAGTGTTGGTTCATTGCCACCTTATCCAGAACTTTGCATTATAGTTCAATCAGTGTACTACTTTTTTGCCTTTAATATTTGGTTGAATTTTTTTTTCACTTTTTTTGTTAGCTAATAAATGGTGAACACGTAAATTATATTTGATGAAAAATTTTCAGGCACTAATTTGGACCGGCCAGGCACGTCCCGGGACGATGGTTTGTGGGCCGTAGGGTTGTTCATAAGAAGACCTAATCCGATCAAACTGACTAATTCGAACTGACCCAATCCAAGTTGGTCGGGTTTTCTTAAATACCAGTTGATTTCAGGTTGTAAAAAATTATAAACCAACCCGAACCGACTTAGTAGTTAGTAGTTAGTTCCTATTTAGTAGTTACAACCTACTTAGTTCCTACTTAATTAAGTTGTCTCTATACTACTTACAACCTAACTTAATTTCTAGTCTTCTAGTTAGGAATGACATTAATGGCAAGTATTGTAAGACAMYTARWCAARRAATTTYTTTRRAAAAGTTTAAAGAAAAGAATCAAAGGATCCTAGTTTCTATGGTCTTTTACACCAAATAGGCAACCAATTACAATTATAATTAGGTGTCCTTTTTTACTTAGATTAAAAGGTTTCTTGAAATATACAAATTTCAGTCTTCTTTCCCTAATACAGTTTGACTTTCTATTTTCTTGATAACTTCTATTCTAACTTGGTCCACTCCCCTTAGCCCATCAACTCAAGCACAATCTCTAATATAATTTGACTCTCAAGCATGGTTGAACTTAGAGCCAAAACTGACCCAAACCGACTAAGTCGGTTTTACTTAACACAGGGTCGATTTTGGTTTCAATTTTAGGTAACCCGACCAGGTCGGGTTGGTTGGAAAAATCTCAGTAAACCGACCCGTGAACAGCCCTAGTGGGCCATGCCAGGCCTGGGTTTTAGGTCCATGGGTCAAGTCGGGTTTGTCTGACACGGCTTATATATATTATTTATATAAATTTTATATATATTTATATAATATTATATAAATTATAAGTATATAATAATATATTAGTAAAATAAAATATTTTTTTTATTTTATTATACTAATTTATTTAATTATTGTGTGTATATATAAGCAATTGTATACATCAAAATTCATATAAAATTAAAATTTTAAGTTTTTTGTTAATTTTTTAAATAAATATCTTTAGCCCGATGCATGGCCTGACTTGGACCAAGGCTCAGCCCATGGGCTAGCCCGACCCACGGCATGGCATGGGCCCACATGGGCCTAGGCCGTGGGCCGGGCCAGGCTGACCCCTACATTATCCCAGTGGAGGGCAACACGGCTTGCACTTTGCACGGGTCGTGTCGTGTTAGCCCAGCACGGCCTGTTTTACACCTCTAGCCATATTGATCCTAAACTTTAAAATGTGATAACTTAATATTCAAACTTTCAAAACGTGCCAATCTAGTATCTACTGTTAAGCCATCAATTATTGACTAACAAAGTAACCTAGTTAAGAGTGTTCAGGTCTTTTATTCATATCTAATTTTAATGTTTATTTCTAATGAAAGAGGAAATGCATGGATTTTGTTAAGCAAAACTGAAATAGGAGACTGATGACATTCTTAAGCTTTTTAGGTTCAATAATAATAATAATAATAACCCTTCTATCCACGACGAGTGTAATGCATGGGCTTTGCTGCTAATTGTGAATTGAATCTAGTGCGTCCATGTCCAACTCAAATATTATTTTTTGGATTGTTATTTTTTTTATTAATTTTTGTTAGGTAGATTTTTTAATTTATAATAATTTTTATTTTTGTTATTTTGAAATGAAATAATACTATATTAGTAACAATTAATTTCAAAAGTAATTATAACATTCTTGAATATTAAATATGATTTTTTTTTTCAAAAATGCTAGCAATCATTCAGTACATGGCTCGTGAAAGAAGCCCTGTAATATATGGCACTGTGAGGCATATGGGTTGATGTAGGGGACCCATGTTCCATACAAACAACAGGAAAGGGATCTAATTGAACCTATTTTAATTTTCAAATCTTCACCCAAATTAACCACAGGAGTTTCCTCTTAGCTAGGTTCGCATTAGTTCAGATAAAGCTTACAATTATTGGCTTCATAGAGAGATGAGTGCAAAAAATAATAATAAATAATAACAATAAAAAAAAACTATAATCTACTTTGGAGGGTCTATCACGAAATTGAAGACTTTTTTTTTCTATAAGTGCTTTAGGCTTTAGCAGCCATCTAATGAGCTAACATGCTAGAACTACTAATATTGTCCCAAAATGATATAAATATCTGTGCCTCTATCAAAAACTAGCAAGTAAATCCATGCAATATATGTGGTTGAAAAAAAAAAAATCTTTCTTGGCCCTATGGGGCAACAGGGGGTATCCCATCCCCTAACCCTAGTAAAGGCATGATACAATCCCAAGTTTTCGTTACAACTAGCTAGTTGGCACCATGCATATTTGATTAGGTTTAGGCTTGTAAATTTGGGTTTGAGGTTTGAACATCAGTTTAGGTCCAAACCAAGGTCCATATTTGGGGTTGATCTTGGATTGGCCCTTAACCTCATTCAATCCATCTAATTTATACTCCCACATTATTAGAGAGTACAGAATTAAAGATATGTAAGAGGCGATAACAGAATTAATGGAGGAGGGTGTGACTTTATGTATTTTTAATTAAAAAAATAAAATAGATAACCACCTGTTTGAAAAATGAGAGGAAGCAATGCATGTGAACATTGAAGTGAAAGGACTTTTGGACTTACTCTTAGTCTAATATAATATACATATATAGATGGTGTGTGCCCAAATCATCACCAAACACCTGAAATGATAGAAATATATAAAAAGAAATAATTCATTTGGTTAGACAAAAAGATAGTCAACAAAAAGGCATCGTGTAATCCATTCTATATCGTTACCTATACAAATCCGTACTCCATAATTTGAGATGGACCATCCAAGCTTTTGATTTTTTTTTTTTTTTGAAAACAAGATCTTAAGGATTTACGTTGTGAATGATTCAGGAGACTAAATCAGATATTAATTTATAATTAAGTATTTCATGCTACCTTAACCACTTGAAAGCCTTTGTGTTTGATTTTTTATTTGATTTAAAAAATTAAGTTATATTTTATTTGTGAATAAAAACCCACTTAATGCAAATGAAAAATCTACCTTGAGTCTTTTCTTTGAGTTGGGAGGGAACTAAATTAGATTTGATTTACTACTAATGAATATAAGATATACATATATTTTAATCATAGTTGAGATTTATTTACTTGCTTCTCTACATAGGAGTTTAGCCAGAAGAAGCCTTCTTCTCTGGAGGATTTTCTTTTCTTTTCTTTTCTTTTTTGCTCTTCAAGTCTTCATTATAGAAGGGGCCGTTGTTTTAAGTCATGTGAACTACCTAACTTGAATTAGTACATGGTTTTACTGCGAGATCCATGCCACTATATTTATTTTTATTTTGAATTAAAAGGGCCCAACCCGGCCCATGTGGGAGGCCATTTAAGAATTGAAAGGCATTTAGGAGAAGGTGGATTGGTCATATAATTAGGCCCGCGGGCCTGACCTCGGGCTTAACACAGTAAGCCCGACTGTGTTTCGGGCCAGGCTTGAGATTTGTCTAAAAAGCCT